GATTAAGAACCTTAGAAGATCGAGAAAATGTCGTTTTCTAACATGCAGATGATATCCAATCTCATTATCTCAATCACTATCGGGTACTTCCGCTAGTATTTCATAAGTGTTGATTTCATTTTAATTTTGTTTTTGTGTTTAACGACGATACAAAATAGAATAAACATAGGAAATATGTGTAATAGTAACATCTAAGCTATTATTCAAAATTTATTACAATTAATTGATATCTTAGTTAAGAGTGTACGTGATTAGTAACAATATTAAAATAGTTTTTATCTAACTTATTTTTCATTACACATATTCTTATTTCAACTCTTTACTTGATCCTCCCCGACTGATTACTGGAGTAACTATTTCTAGAGCGATTACAGAAAAATAAGAGAAGAGGTAATTATATTTGAAAGCGATAAAAACATTGTTTTTGAAGTGCACTTCATTAGTTATCGATTGATAAAAATAAATTTTTTTCATCGCTTTGTTTTTGAAATATCGGATCTATAAAATCAACATTGCTAAAAAAATAGAATAAATTGGAATTTTTGAAAAAGAAATAGTTGTGTATCTCTAACCAGAGGAGATTTTTCGGAATTTTTGCACGACATACATCAATGAAAAAGTTCATTAGTGAGTTTTATATGTTTTGAAATCTTCACGATAACTTGAAGAATTGCACATATTAAGGCATACAATTGAGTATGGACTCATTATTGAGCAGCTGGAAGGCAAATAACAAATGAAGTTAACATATATATTACAAACCTCAACGCATAAAATTTAGACAATATGTATTTTCTTTTGAAATTAATCGTCAACAGTTCACAGGCGTGTTTTCATTAAAATGTAATGACATTTTGTGAATCAGATCACATTATTAACATATTAGATAAGCTGCTTACGTCGAATAATCAATCAACGAAATCTTATTTAATCCCTACAAGAGCTTTTATCATCTTAATGAACGATCTAGCAAGATTTTGTATGATGATTGTACCGCATGAACTTCTAAGATCTTAATTGCTCATAGAAGACACTATGAAAAACACTATATGGTTGGAATTCGGTGCTGTAATTTTTAATTGTCTTCGTTCCTGTTCCAAGACTAAATTCATTGTTGAACAGTAGTAGTAAAAAGAATATTTTCAATTCGAAATACAAAACAAATACAATATAGTTTTAACAAAAACATCTCATTGAAACAAAAACAGTGTTGCATATTAAAAATGCGATTAATACTTATTGTAAAAACATTCATAGAAATTACATGTATAAATAAGATATTTCCAACAAAATCTCATCAATCAGTGAATATCTAATCTATACAAGTTAAATTTTCTATTCATTGAAACATTTGTAAACAACAAAAATTATATGTTTACAGATAGATTTCTTAAATTCTACTCTTTCACATAAGAATTGATTTACTAAAATAGACAGAAAATGATATATAGTTGAAACTCGTAGCAATAGATTATTCAATATAAGCACTGGTATTTTTCTTTATATCGACTCAAATAGAAAGTAAAAGAAATAGAGACATGTTGAACAAATCAAGAGACTTTTCCGTTTTTGCCTTTTTACCTCTATATTTTGCTTATTTTAGAAGATAAGAAAAAAATTTTCTTTACAAACTATATGGAACAAAAACTGTTTTTCTTGAACTTTCTGTTTTCGATAAGAGAGTTTACACTAGTTGTTTTGAAGAGTCTTAGATCGTTATGGATCGACTTCTATGTGGAATTTGACAGTAAATCTATACGGTATTCAGATATATTTTACTTCGTAATATATGAACGATGAACTCTTGCTTAGAAACTAATCCAAAACTTATAACTTTTGTTGGATACGAGGACTTTCGAATTAATATTGGCATTCGTATAAAAGCCTATGCATGACGAGAGTAGGTTGAATAAAAAAACAATGAATCGATTTTTTGTTAAATTGAATTCTAAGATCTTTGAATGGAACACGATTTTATGAAGAAAAATGGAAGTGTCAAGCTTGAAATTTGAGTTCAACTTGATTTTCAAATTTCAAGTTTGACATCGTATATGTAATAATGAGAGTATTAAAAAAATGTTGAATATGAACAGATAGAAAAGTTTTTGTTTTAAGACTTAAAATCGAAATTTCTATTGAAAATATATTGTACTCAATTGATAATTTTATTGTATGAAACATAGCAATATATTCAACATTATAATGCAAACTACTTTAACATTAGAATACATGAGAAAATAACTAGAAAAATAACATTTTTATGATAGCATCTATGCAAGATACACTTCTTTTATGCTAAAAGATGAAATTTTTATCTTGTCTTTAAAAGTGCATCTTCAATAAACTCAGATACGCTTTCTTTTTTTTTTATAGTGAGAAATGTATATTAATAATTAGAGCACTAATATAACATAATATCTTATGCAAAAAAAGTATAACATTGAAAATTTAGATAGTTAAATATTACCTTAAGTTAATAAGTGTAATATGAAATATAAAATTTCAGATATCATTGAAAAAAAAACGCGAGTCATTTTCATACGTACATAAGTACTAATAAATTTGATTAAAACAGACTTTTATTATAATGTCTTATAATTCTGAAATCACAAACCCTAATATAGAGAAAACTTGTTTTTTTTTTTATACTAAAATACAACAAGTTTTTATTTCTGCAAAACCTATACTATTTTAATCTGTTTTTCTTTCCACAGGAAAAAAAACATCACATAATATTTATTCTTCAATCATTTCAGTGACATTCAATGTAAATTTTGAATTCTATGTTTTTTTTTGATTGTTCTCTAATAGTGATTTCTCCATTATGTTATTTATAAAACAAAACTAAATCTTTCGAAAGTATTTCTTTTCTCAAAATCCCATTTTTACTGGTGAAATTTCCTCTGCTCGTACCAATTAAATTGCAAATATTTCATGATTTCTTAGCAAAATGAAGAATTCATTTTTAATGAAATCCATTTTTATTTCTACTTCGTCCTTTTGTTTTATTTTAGTACCACTACGTGCAAGTTTCACTGATATTCATCCCAATGCAACATGGTCAAAGAATGGTATCACTGTTGTTGGAGGTAATGGGAAAGGTAGTGGTACCAATCAACTCTCTAACCCATTGGGTTTGTACGTCGACGATGATCTAACGATTTATGTCGCTGATCGTGATAATCATCGTATTGTGGAATGGAAACCTGGTGCAACGGATGGCACAGTGGTTGCTGGTAGAAATAGAAAAGGAAATAAAGCTCATCAATTAAATCAACCACGAGATGTGATTATCGACAAAGAGAGCGATAGTCTCATCATCTCCGATTTCGGTAATAAAAGAGTAGTTCGATGGCCTCGTAGAAATGGTACTCGTGGAGAAACAATTATTTCAAATATCGTTTGCTGGGGTTTGACAATGGACGACAATGGTTTTCTCTATGTCGTTGACCATGGAGAACATGAAGTAAGACGATATAAAATTGGTGATACTCAAGGAACAGTGGTTGCAGCTGGCAATGGAGAAGGAAATCGGCTCGATCAATTCTCTTATCCCCTCTACGTATTTGTCGATCGAGAACATTCAGTTTATGTGTCTGATTATGAAAATCATCGTGTCATGAAATGGGAAGAAGGTGCAAAACAAGGCATTGTTGTAGCCGGTGGTCAAGGAGGAGGAAATAGTCTTACACAATTGTATAATCCTTATGGGGTCGTTGTCGATCAATTGGGTACTGTCTATGTGGCTGATGCTTGGAATGATCGAATCATGCGTTGGCCAAAAGGAGCCACACAAGGAAGTGTCATTATTGGTGGAAATGGTCGTGGAGCACAGTCGAATGAACTCCATGGGACCGAAGGTTTATCATTCGATCGACATGGTAATCTCTATGTCGTCGAATGCGGAAATTCTCGAGTAAAAAAAATTAATATCGCATGAACTCAATTCGTATAATTACTTTTTTTGTTTCGTTCTTTTTTTTCTCTTTCAAATAAATCGTGATTGAACGGAAAAATGCATTCGAGTTTTTTTCTATTCTCATACGCGCGCGCGCAACCAGGAACGACCCTGGTGGAGCCACGGCGAGCGTAACGCTCGTACACGCGCGGGAAGACTAACACCATCCACATGCATCCATCGATGACATATGTCCGTGAGCCTAGGGCCCAATCGTGTTGCCATGGACATCAGAATCGTTCCAGGCTGGGCTTTTAGGGACTACCCAGACGTCCTTCTTATAAGACGAAGACCCTAATCTCACTCACCCTTACTACTCTCATCTCAACTCAACTTAAAGAAAAGAAAAAAAAAACATGACTCACCCGTTAATATTGAATGATGATGTTTCTAAAAGGAAAAGAAAAACATCAATATAAAAAAATCATAAGAGGTCTTACCACCCTCCATATGATCGTAAAAAGAAAAAAAAAGAAAAGAAAATTAAAACTTATACCTACATGTTTTTTATTGTCTGGATTTGATTTGAATTGTATAATTTTGTATCGTCGAAACCATTCTAAAATAGAAAAAGAAAAGATTAGAATTTGATTCAATAAATTGAATGATTTTACATAGAAAATCATTCATATTATTTCCTAAAAAATCGAAAATTTCCTTTTTTTTCGTACAAAAGTGATGAAAAGACGATAGTTCCCTCGACTGAAGGGAGGGTCATACGAAGGGTGTGGGTGTGGGTGTGGGTGT